TTTGATAGTGAAATAATTTTAGTCATCTGAAACCCCATGACATTAAAAGAATAACAATTAGCTGCTATATTCATGCCAACCTTGATAGAAAAAAAGAATACCAATTCCTTGCATTTGTACTTGTCAAAACAATGTGCACTGGAGAGTGACAGCTGTGACTAGAGTGAGACAGATCAACCTAGTAACACCAACCACAAAGCACTTTTCTCCACAAACAGAAAAAAAAGGCAATTTTCATTTTCAACAAGTCATAAGACCAAGACCGAAGGTGCTGTTAATCTACAGCTTTCAAGTAATTGCTTTCTAACTTCAGAAATCAATCAAGAAAACTAGTGTACTACTATGATGGCCAGCTCTCCTAAGGGCATTCCATCACTCTTAAGTTTCACTATTTAAAGTGGGTTCTTAACTTTCCAAATGGGTGCAACCACATCTTTTTTTAACTCAGATTATTTCCTATTTTCTACAGTTTTCAAATATCCTCCAACCTTCTATATTATACTATTAGTGAAACTGCTTGCTGAGTTTCATGGATTGGCTGCTTCTTACAACACATCTCCATTCCTGATGCTTCAGTATACTGAAACTTAAATAGATACRTATCTGTTCCTTTTATACCAAAGAACTTCGTAACATCTAAGTTATGCATGGAAGTTTTAACATTCATCATCTAGTAGTCTGGCTGACAACCCAGTGCTTTCTATGCTGGTGCTATTTGGTTAGAAGTGAGAAACAAATGAGGGGGAAAAAAAGTCACACACATTACCGGTTCTACAGACTGCAATTCTTCTTTGCTTTTCTACTTTTAATACCTCATTTGCCACATATGAGGAATATAAGTACTGTCCACTAAATACAACCTCCAACAGTACATCCAGTATCTCATGACCACAGGATACAAGCGCTAGTTCAGGACATACCTGCAGTGAGGTAATGGACCCTGTGTGTCCATGGAGGACAGCAACGGGCGCGCAGGTTCGGAGGCACCACACTCGGATCATTTTGTCGCAGCTGCCCGCTGCAATCATAGTGTTCTCGTAGTTGACGGCCATATCCGAAATCTCCGCTGAATGTCCTCGTAACGTGGCAAATAACCGGCCGTTGTGAGTTGACCAAATTTTTACCAAGCAGTCATCTGAGCCCTAAAGAGAAGTATATGCTAAACTCAGCAAAGAGTTCATGAAACATTCAGGATACAATGAGTCATGTTCCCTTTGAAGAATCCAGCTATATTATTCCCCACCCCCCACCCCAAAGCTTGCAAATGACACATCTATTTCACACTACGCACGTTTTATGCATGCTGGCAAAAAGTAAATCATATGACTAATAATAAAACAAGGCATTCAACCACTAGTTCAGGAATAYACTACAATCATCACAAATGTACCCCACATAATGTAGAACACCTGGATATAAGTTGGCAGGATTCTTTACAGTACTGGCAGCTAAATAAAAGTACTAAGCCAGGAAAGCAACCTCTCCTCTACCTCTTCATAAGGAGGACGGGACACACTGAACATAGAAATATTAAGTACAGAAATATCTTACATGCTTCTTGCTCTTAAATACATCAAGTTGTTTCATTTAAGCAYTGCAATGGAACCAATCAACTATATTTTAACGCTTTACTGTTATCTACCCACAAAAGCATGAGGTGCATTTAAGTTCCCTTCCCAGTAGCCAGCTAGAATTAGTTTCATATGTAATCAACTCACAGTAAATATCCTATGTCCAGTCCTATCGAATGCAACACAGTACACAGAAGAAAGATGGCCAAGAATCCGTCTGTGCATCTTTATATGTTGATACATACATCCTGGAAATGAAGTACTGAACTTTGCATATCCGGTGAGTTGTTTAGCTCGATATACTTCCACTGGAACATAAAGAGATCAGTGAGTTAACCCACTAAAGTATATATAAAAAAGGTATAAGTCATCACTTCATTCACCACTAAGTAATATGTTACTTACAGATTTACCAGAAGTGATTTTCAGATTTCATACAGTTAATCTGGCTTTTTAAACTTGTAATTTTTCTACATATAAAAACAGGACAGTATTTTAAACCTGCTCCAAACAAAACTCCCTTCTGTAAACATGATGTGGTAAATGCTGTCTTTACTTTCCCATGGCCTGCCATACAGTAAGGCACACAAGAACCCTTCTATCCAAAGGCCACTCATCTGCATTTCCTGTAGGTTTACTTACTTAATAGACAGTCTTTATAGAAGATAAAGACGTGACCTAGAGGCCAACACATCACTGAGCAGTGAGCAGACCTGCAAACCCCCTACCAAATGACTGCCCAATCCACCGGCCACTGTGCAGAGCGGGCAGGGAGGAGCAGTCTCATGCAGACAAGATCCATGTCGAGAGACATGTTCCAGGCTCACCCAGATTCGGCGGCAGGCCATAATTCACCGGGATTTCGGGAGGTCTTCCTCTGTGAAGAGCAGCAAACGCAGAGCCCTTCCAAACAGTGTTCCTGCAATCTTTACAATCAGTCAAAGTTAGTCATAAGTACATTAAAAAAAAAATGCCAAGTCAGCTACTGTTCCAAAACACCACAAAGGTATCTGATAAAGTTTTGATCTTGTGTTTGAGAAACTGACAAGTGAAAAACACAGAAGCTTGTAAGCCCTCAAATTTTCTGGACAGTGATGAACTTTATCAATTTAATACAGCAAAAAATAAATCTTTCTAAACTGCTCATGATTAGCAGTATCCCTGCCATTCAATAACTCAAAACTAACTTTTTGACTGAAATTTCCTACTCATTCTCAGTGCGTTCTCAGGACTTAAAGCTTTCACAAGTAAATTGCCTCTTAGAGAAAATTTCCTTTCATTAAAATTTCACAAGCTTGTGCTGAAATAATTACAACACTGATTCTGAGAATATCACAGTCACTCAGTGAGATAAAAATACTGTCCACTTGCCCGTCTTATATCATAGCATTTAGCTACACAACAGAACTTCATACAAATACATTTTTAAAAAAAGTCTAAAGCTCAAGTCTCTCCAATAAATATCAACAGCTTTGTATTCATTCACCTTAGATTACAGACAATGGCTTTGCTTCTCCGCAGTACACAACTGTGCTTATATAAGTACACATTATCTTTGATGCCATCTCATTAAAAACAAAACAAAACAAAAAAAAACAGAAAAATGATGCTACTCTCTGATTTGCATCAGAGCAATACAGCTACTCCACTCAAAGGGGAAAAAAAAAAACCAAAAAACGCACTGACATCAGACTGCTGGGAATGTCAAGAGATGTCAGAAAAGTAGTGCTGTTGTCCTGAAGTATCACTATACTGCAGAATTCTAAAAACGAACAGCATTTGGAGGCTTCAGCACTCACAGTGCCAGCATTTTTTTGTTATRTAACTTAAGACCTCATTTTCACAAGAATCAATATAGTTACACATATCACTGGTGCCTTGGYTAAGTAATGATAGAAGCAGGGGCTTTCAGTGAGAGCTCACTGCCAATCCAATATTCCAAAAATCTTCAGCACATACTTATTAAAACGTATCATGCCCATTTCAAATAATAAACAATTCATACCTTTTGCTGTACGTAACAATGACTGCCTCCCTGCACCAAGTAAGGAATTCACTCTCGAAATGCTGGGTGGTATCTCCTTATCCAGTATAGGGCCAATACGCTTACAAATTTGTAGCAAGTGATCTGGAGCCACATGTTTGTTCGATAGCACCTGATAGAAATTGAAGTTTTAAACACACATATAGAACAACCAGAATAGACAAGCCTAAAAATATCACCATTCACATCAGTATTTAAACACGTATAATATACCTAAGTTCAACTTACAGACCAAAGTTAATTACATAAAGCATCTACCTAGTGAGGTCAGTGAACACACTCCAAGAACGGCACTTCTGTATTAAAACCACTAATTGAACATCAGCATTTTACTAYTGAGTAATCTGAAATATTCACACATCCACTTCAGAGCATCCACTTCTGAATGGCATAATACAATCACTGTCCTTGACAAAYGCACCCCGTAAGGAACAAATAAAAAAAATAATAAAAAAGTAAAATCATACTCTCGTAACTCAAGGTCATRGAAAAAAAGTGTTGTAATCAAGCCTAAGATTTGATGCAACTAGTACCCGAGTTGCTGATCACTTGTTCAGTAAGCTTGTCTAGGAAGATCGATCAAAGTATACAACCCCCTGGAAAAAGTTTCCTTGAGGAACCACTACTACATAGGAAAAGACTGTTCTACCTTCTTAAATCATCAGGATCAAGACAGGCATCTCGATTCAGGAATGATTCCATAATATCTACATGTGATAACTGAAAAAAATGCACCCCTACACATTGCACTGTGTCCACCGAAACTATATGCGTGTTTTATGTCCTGTCTTAAATTTCTGAAAGATTGTTTGGGGGGAGGGGGGGGGAACAAAACAAAACAAAAAAAAACCACCTTTAACTACATTATTAACCACCGTAAGGGAGAGTTCAAATGCACAGAGTGAAGTTTACACACACACACACACTTAGGTAAAACAAACCACCAGCAACACGAATTCAAACTGCTGGGAAGGTGTGAATCAAGCAGGTAGAGCAGTTCCTTGCTTCCTCAGCTGCCTCATCCACCAGTGTAAGCCAAGGGGACCTATAGCCCATACCGCAGTATTGTAGCCAAGCAGACACTCCCCATGCAGTGGTCCAAGACAGACAAAGTCACATTAATGGAGGACGTGACCCTGAGCACACCGAGTTCAGGGACAGGCAGGATAAGGCCATGCTTACAATGCTGGATCACTGACTGAATTTAAACAAAAATTTCTGACCAGACCAAACTCACGATCAGAACAGTAGGAAAAAAAGACTCTACATGTCTACATCTTGTCAAGTAAAATCTGTCCAACAAGTTGCCCTGATATATTTAGTTACAGCTTACACCAGTAAGCAAGTAAAAACTTCTCATGACTGCTCATGACTTTAGAAGGCCAAGAACAGTTTCAACTTTTTTTCCAGACAAAATGGTTAAAACACTGTTAACTTAATACTCATATTTATAAACAATATAATTTAAACCTGATGTTTAATAGTAAAATTTCAAGCTGAAGAACAAGTAACGTTCATAAAGCTTACAGGTCACAAGGTTTTTTTTGTTTTGTAACAGCAGCAAAACAGTTAGTATTACCACAGAATCAAACATATACAAATATATCAGGTGAACACATGCTTAAGTATGAGAAAATATACTTCAGAGCAATCTAAAGTTTTTTTTTTTTTTTTTAATAATTTCTTTTTTTTAAACAACCTTGCTGTTTGAAATGGTCCTCTGTAGTACCAGCCAAGACATTCAGCATATGCAGTGTSAAGCATTACAACCCATCTCATTCATGTACCATCATCAGGAAATACCTATTTCACACGCAGCCCCTGGGGCCAGCAGGTTTACAAAACCTGGGGATACTTCCTRGATAGTTTCACTCAGATTTTAAAAGGAATGATTATTTAAAACTCATGCTCTGATTTCGTGACAAACAAACAAAAAGAAATAACTGCACACAATCCTAGAAAACTGAATAAGAAAATGGGACCAACTGGACAACAACCAGTTCTCAAGGCCCCATAAAGACAAAAAAAACCTTTACATGTTTATTCTGGAATACTAGCATCAGATATATATTTCTTTCAAGTGATTGGGGAAAAGGGGAGAGAAGAGACATGTCAGACTTCATCTGACAACACTGTACACACACACAGAAAAAAAAATCCACTGCAGCCAAAAAAATCCATGCATAACAACAACATGCCCCAACTTTTATCACTGTTTACCAAAAGAATTAGGGTTCAAAAAAAAGCCCAAAGAAMAAAAARACTTTAAAAACTTTAAAATTTAATACCATTGTTACATTGGCTAAGTTCAAGTCACAGCTTGAAAGAATTCCTGTTTAGCAAGACCTGGCTTTCCATCTACTGCCTGAAAGCATTAATTTAAAAGCTCATCTGCCATACTAACCAGTTACCAGCAAGGGAAATGCAAGAGAACTGGAATTCAGGCTATCATTTTATGCAGCACTTTAAATATTTAAGAAAATGAAATCAGAATGAAATTTCATTCTTTCTCCTCTTCACAAATACTCCTATGAGGTTTTCAAATCATCTTGCTTGCGCAAACTAACAGGTAAGAGAAAATTCACTCGGGAAAAATGCCTCAAGCTTTGGGAAAAATAAATTAAAAAGAAAATAAAAAAAAAAAAAAAAGAAATGTAGACACAGGAAGAACATTTGTTTAAAGAAGCTGGGATCAAGGACAATGATGCAGCCCATCAGCAAACTCCATAAATACCAGCAGAAAGAAAACTTCACGAGATTCCACTGCCAAACATATTTTGCAGTTTTTGAGCAAAATAAAACATAAACGGGAAAAAAAAACCCCACAGTATTTTGAGCTCGGGGATGGCCCGAGGTGAAGGGACACACTGAGCCCTGCCTGCCGCGCGGACCCTCGCGGCTCCCCGCGCCGGGGGCGGCCGGCCCCATCTCCCAACCTGCCGCAGGGAGCCACGGAGGAAGCCAGCCAGGRAATAAATACCGGCCAACCAGGGCGCGCGGCACATGCCGGCGCGCGGCACGCCGGAATGAGACGCCGCTCGCCATTGGCTGCGGCGCGCGTGTGGGCGGGGGCAGGCGCCGGCGCCCCGCGCCGGGCTCCACCTCGGCTATGTAAACAATATCCGCGACCTGAGACGCGGCTCGCGCCTGCCCTGGCCTGAGGTGAGGACGCCAGGGGCCCTTTCCCACCCAAAATAACAGTTCCCCCGTCTTACTACACGCGGAATGGGGCTGGGAGTCAAAACTTTGGGCCTAGTCTTAGAAGGAGAGGCTCGAGCATCAATGTTATCATCCCAATTAAAAGAGTCTTTAAAAAAAATCTCACCAATTCTTCGTAACTTCTRTAATGCTCATTTCCTTCCCAATCCAACCTTTTAGGAAGCAGCTGAAGCAAGAAAGAAAAAAAAAATAATAAAAGTGCGTGATTAAAGGTGTGTTGGGGCGGGGGGGGAGGGTGTGCATATCCACAACAATGCCCTCGGACGGGGCGAAGTCGGGACGCGAGTGGGAGCAGCTCGCGTGACGCGGGCGGCAGCAGCCGCCCCCCCGAGCGGGGCGAGGGGCCGCCCCCCGGCGCGCGGCCGCGCACACAGACCTGGTGCTGCTCCAGCTCCCGCACCAGCACCTGCGGGGAGAGCAGAGAGAGGCGCGCGGCGTCAGCGGCGGCGACAGC